TTTATAAATCACTCAATAGCCTAGGACCTAAATACATAGCAGATATGTTCACTGATTATAAACCTAACAGACCACTCAGATCATTAGGATCGAGTCAGTTAGAAATGCCAAGGGTTCACACAGGAAAATTTTCATTCCCGTTAGGAAAGCAAAACATGTACACTGAATTGCATGAGAAAAATGCAAAATTCTATATAATGCCATCCGATAGATACACACAGGGGAAAAAATAAATATTTCTAGAACAAATATTTAAACATCCTTAACACAAGATAAATCTACTGGAGAAGCAGAATGGTATAAGATAAAAACGCTTGTTTTCAGAGAAGTTAATTTTTTTCCCATTAGAAAATCAATTATTTTTTATTTTAAGAATAAACTTTATTACATTTTGATATATTTATGCTTACAAAAAAATGTCAGTTGTAAAAAAAATTAAAATAGATTAAAAAATTTAAAATCAAAAAAGGTTCCATTAGATACTTTTAGTTAATGTATTAACTAACATGAATGAACAATGAACAATACATTTATTACAATATTTATTCATCTTTGTTAATGTTAGTTAATGAAAAAATACAGTTGTTCATTGTTAGTTCATGATGAATCACAGTGCGTTAATGTTAACAAGCACAACTTTTGATTTTAATAATGCATTAGTAAATGTTGAAATTAACATGAACTAAGATTAATAAATGCTGTAGAAGTATTGTTCATTCTTAGTTCATGTTAAAGTAGTTAACTAATGTTAACTAATGAACCTTATTGTTAAGTGTTACCAATATTAATAATAATCTACAATATCCATCCATCCATCCATTCTCTACACCAGTTATCTTCTCTATGTTTGTGGGAATTTAAGATAAATTCTTTGAATTAAAGTCTGAATATCTAATTTTGTCTCAAGTAATTTTTTTTTATTTTTAGGATGGATTAAGGTCCTGCTTTATATTAGGTGTCTTTAACTACTGCTTGTAAAAAAGAAAAAAAAAGTTAAGTACAATGTACTTTATTGAATCTTTGTATTGCGAAATAGTTGTTAGGGACAGGTTTTGTGGAATGTTTAGGTTTAGGGGTGGGTCAACAGTGTAATTATATGGTAGATAATTACATGCAGGTATTTTTGAATTAAAAATACAATAAAATAAAAACGTATGTACACAATAAGTGCATTGCATCCAAGATTAAGATATATATTTTTATAAATCAAATATCGATAAAGAAAATATATGTTAAAATTTTTGCATATACTCTTTTGTCTTCAAAAGGCTTAGTTTGATCATAGATAAAAACAAAATTCTGGGGAAAAAAAATGTACATTTGTCCATTACTTCCACTTCAGTTCCTTCTTTGTGCACTAATGTTGTGTATACTGTGTTTGTGGGTGTATATGTCTGTCTTTATGTCACCACATATGTATCTGTGTCGGCATCAGTGTGTTTCTTTTGTTCCTCTTTTCATCTGTGTGTGTGTGTGTGTTACATTCTAACCTGACCCAGACACCCTGGTACTTTCCAGCGATTGGGTTTCCCAGCAGGCCTCAGCAGGCCTTTCTCCCTCCCATTGCAAAGTCATTAACACTGACACAGACACACACACACTCTCTCTAATGTGCTATTATGGTTCCTCATTCTGGTCCTATCACACATCAAAGACAGAGCAGGGGTCCGCACAGGAGAGACACTTATGCCCACTGAACATTTTATGTATCTTACAATTATAAAGGCTCATGGTGTGTATGAAGCTTCTAAACATTTAAGAAAATCAGTTTGTGTGGAGTTTATGTAGTGCTGCCAAATTCACGCTAAATATTTGAGCTACAAAAAACTGCTTGGGTAAGAAAGACAAATCGCTTGTATCTGATAGTTTTTCAAAATAATTATTTCTAAATGGGTAAATCAGTTCTTCAGTGGTTCTTGGCAGCACCTTAAGTTTAGTTACTTGGTTCATTACTTTATTTTGGTTCATTTGTATTTGTTTTGAAGCTATCTACATGCTAGAGTACTTTGAATGTACATGCTGAGATGTACATACATCGACCGACCTTCTTTGAATCTAGTTCTCATACCTTTGTCTGTTTGGCTGTGATTTATACATCCAAGAAAAAGATGACAGTCTTAATGAGCTCTTGGAATGCCATATAGAAAAAGCCTTGAGGATGTTTCTGAACATAATGGTGCGGACAGATCCAAAGAGCCAGGACTTTCTGTACACCTGTGGGTAACTAAAGGGAAGGAGACCTGTGTGTGTGTGTGTGTGTGTGTGTGTGTGTGCGCAAACATGCAATTTCAACGCTTGAAAGTTTCCTTATGAGTTTCTGATGTATAATATAGCCATTCTGATGTTTGATGATTATACATTTTAATAACGGTTTCATTTCATTCATTTTTTTTTCAGAGAGGCGATGAAACAACAGGACGACAAGGTGACTTATCAGCAGCATGGATCACATCTGTGATGTTCATCAGAGGCGTCAAGTGCATATTCTTATACATTTGTAAAAAGATTTTATTAACAGTATTAGACTATATATAAATCTCTGTTTCTAATTTAACCTTCTTTGTTTTAACATTAATATGTGTCCGTGGATGGTAGTTTAGTGTGTTTCTTGACTGATGTGTCTGCTAATATTGTAAAAAATCTGATTATGAGATTAGCTTAATGGCCTGTAATGGTAACTTACACTGCTGGTGATGCCTGCTGGAGAAGTGCTTCTGAAAAGGTATGAAACAAAATGATGCCACCTTCTAAAATATCACAGGAAATAGTTAATACAAATCACTGTATTCAGTTAAAAAAAGAAAAAGAAAAGATTGTCTAGCCAAAATGTATTTAAAATATATGCTTAATATATGTTGTAGCACTGCACTGTAAAAAATTATATAATCAGTAAATCAAGTCAGCATGTTTTTTCTCCCCATTACTTTAACTCATCAAATTCATTTAACCAATTTTAACTTCTTTTTTTTTTTAATTACACAAAATTAAACTCAAAATGTAAAGATTTTTGAAGTCAGTTCAATATAATTTAAGTTGAACTGACTTGCACAGCCAATTTGATTACACTTAAAAATGTAAGGCTGCAACTGAACTCAATTTGAAAGAGGTGGACATTTTTTACAGTGTGCTTAAGAAAATATAATTTGTTTAAACTTCTAAATGCCCATTCTTGTGTATTTTGATGTATATCTGTGTGTGTGTGTAGGTCTACCAAAATGATAAAAAATTTAAAATATCTGCTGACACTTGAATGCAATCTATTCATTCTAATTAGAAATGCGCAATTGTATACAAATTTTCAATAGTTTTTTCAAAATATATTTCGTTTAAACCTTTACAATGGTCCTACCATTGTCAGGTCCCTGAGGGCAGGCCCACCTGGGGAGGAAAGGATAACACCTCAGTATACGGTGCTCAATCCTCCTCAGTGCCCTCACGGAGGTTCATTGATACCCCTGCCACCCTCGGTGCTTCAGGGCTCGGTGAGCTCCGACGAGCGAAAATCCCAGCTGCTGCCCGGCAACGGTACGGCACGGCACGGGAGAGCTCGCCCCCTCAAGTGAGGGTGCTACAGCAGTCAGGTCGGTCGTTGCCTGCCGGTCATCCGCTTCAGGGCACCGAACTGGCTCCTCTAATAATACCAGAGGCCAGCCTCGAGAGGCTGGTTCCCTTAGTAGATTTTCTGGTAGCGTGGAAACTTCTACCAAATATCTCAAAATGGGTCTTGCAGATTGTAGAGTAAGGTTACAGAATCCAGTTCGGTTCTCGTCCGCCTCGTTTCAACGGGGTCATCCCCACACTAGTAGGCCCCGAGCAGGCTCTGGTAATGGAACAAGAAGTAGATACTCTCTTGAGGAAGGGGGCCATAGAACGTGTTCCTCCTCTCTCTCAAGAGAGCGTCCGGGTTCTACAGCTGTTACTTCATCGTTCCGAAGAAGGATGGAGGGGTTGCGTCGGATCTTAGATCTCCGTCTTCTGAACCGCGCTATCAAACGGCTTCGGTTCAAGATGCTCACGATCAAGCAGATAGTATCTCAAATCCAGTCCAAGGACTGGTTTGTTACGATAGATCTCA